GACAGACGGACAGACGGACAGACGGACATGGCTAAATCAACTCAGCTCGACGTTCTGATCATATAAGTATACATTTTCATGGGTCTATCTCTTTTTGTTCTGGTACTTACAAACATCGGACCAAAGTTATAATACCATTTCATGCTCATGAAAGGTATAAAAATAGAGGTATATATTTTTTTTTTGGTACAGAACAACCCTAAGGGGTGAGAGCATTAAAATTCCGACTTTACTTTTTTTGGACCACTCTAGTCGACACACAGTAGCGACGCGAGAATTCCAAAGACACCTGTAAAATAATTTAATCAATAAACTAAGTCAAAAATAACTTTTAAATATAATACTGAAAAATTACTTGAGAAAGTTCTTTGTTATTAGTTGCTAAATTAAATTTTATCAAAAAACTTAAGCGTGAATTCCCAATTTTAAAGAATTAACTCTCAATTCGAATAAATTTTAATTCCGATTGTCAACGAATAACAATAGAGACAAATACGAAAATGGCGACCAGTGATGCCAATGTGTGAATACCAATTTAGTACCTTTTCATGATTGTAACATAAAGAGTAGTTTGTCAAAGAGGCAAATTAAATTTTTTAAGGAGGTTCAAGATCGCGATTACAGCGAGAGGCACGCGAACGTATAACACCTTCCTTTATTTCATGATGTGTATGTACATTAGGATGGTCCAAAAAAAAGTAAAGTAGGAATTTTAACGCTCTCACCCCCTAGGATTGTTCTGTATCGAAAAAATATACTCCTATTTTTTATTTTGATATCAAAAAATATTTAGAAGTCGCCCAAAGTATTCCATGTATTTTATATCGGGGAAAAAATTTACTTTTCGTAGAAATGGTATAGAATTCTTGAAAATCAATATTTTTCGATCGGAAAACTCTGATTCTCTTCAGGAGACTTCCAGTAAGAATACCCAATTGTTTGTTTAACCATTTTTTAACACTAAATATTTTTTTATTTATGTAAAGGTAGGGGTATATTTTTTGGTATAGAACAATCCTAGCGGGTGATGCATGAAAATTCCGACTTAACTTTTTCACATGAATTTTTTCACCACCCTAGTGCACATTTATCTGTATTGGGTGATCAATCTACACCTTTTTTTAATTTTAAATAAAATACTTAAAAGAGAACTGGATGTCGGAATATTTATTATTAACACAAAAATATTGTCCGACATTTAGTTAAAAAAAAAAAAAACTTCGGTCAAATGTTGGCTGCGCTTTAGGTGGTCCATTTGAAAACTCCAATTTTCAATTAAACCTTCCAGCTTTACGTGAATTACGCGAGTAATACTGGCTTCCAAGTTTTAAATGATAGCTGGCTTATAGACAAAGACTTTTGATTTCCATAATCCCAAAGAAAAAATCCAAAGGTGTGACATCGCACGATAAATTGCTGACACCAAATATTGCCGACATCACGGGCTTCAATTTCAGGCAACAAAAAGGTCGTTATAAAAATGCGGCATTTGAATAAAATTATTTTCAGAAAGTAATTGTAGAGAATGTGCGTTCAGGTAATAACAAAGAGTTCGATAGTTTTATTTAAAATTAAAAATAGGTCTAGGTGGATCACCCGATACATGTGTACATTTATGTATGTATATGTATGCATACATTTTTTAATTAAGCCCAATTTAGTGCCTATTGCGCTTAAATCATCGTTGCACTCGCTTCTGCTTTGTTCTTTCAACTTGCAATGATATTTACCAATTCCAAATAGCCAATTTCGCTTTTCTGTTTTGTTCTGCTCTTTCATCCACACGACATTCACGTGCCACCAAAGCTGCTAAGCTTGCTCTCTTCCACGCTCCAACCGACATTTGTTATGCTTCACAAGCGGCGAAAATAGATTTGCGGCAGCAATAAAAGCTCCGCCCAAATAGACAGTCAACCGAAACGTGTCGTTGCAATTTCTATGTCATTCAGTTATGTTGCTGGTCACAGTCTGATGACAAAGGTTTTGAATGCGCTTTTTAAATGTTTTGTGCAAAAATTGTACAATTTTTCAAATGACGTATTATACCGTGCGACAAAAATCAAAAAATGACAAAATACACAAAAGAATCGCACACGAAGAATACGCACAAATCTGGGAACCCAAGTAGCACAAAATTGCGTTTTCAGTTTTCCCCTCTAACGTTAGGATTTATTTTAAACTACTTTTGAATTTCAAGGATTTGGTTAGCTCGAAAAAAATATTTAAAAAATTCAATGCAATGAAAATAACAATATGGGTGTCCAATAAAAGAAAAAATTCTCAGCAATGCAGTTTTTACTGAAAATGTCTTTTTCTAAATACTTTTTGCATCCTAAGCTAATAAAATTTGATGGACGAAATTAGAAGAACTGGGAGTATATAAATTAGTCCCTAACTCATATTTTCTTCGAAAATAACTTTTGAAAATTTTCAAGGTTATTCAATAATAATATTCTAAAAGGACATTTTCAGTACCCATTCGGCCTTGTACACCAAAAAATTATTTTTTTTTTTAATTCCGCAGAATTTTTATTTTATTTGGTACCCACTGTATTATGTAACTTTGCACTGGATTTTTTAAATAGTTTTTTTTTTGAATGAATCATACGAGTAAGTTTCTTTAAAATTGCAAAGTGCTTTAAATTCACTGTCGCTTTGTGTTATGGGTATGGTAACAGGCCTTAATTGAAAGGCCGTCATTATTAAAAATAAATATATTTTTTTTTTATGCAGAAAGGTTCTCAATTTGTCGCCCAATAGCGACTAGGGAAGCCCTGAAACGATATTTGAATACCAAGGCTTGTTTTCACTAATAATTTCAAATTCAATGGTATCTGTCGTCCACAATTAAAAAACACATTTCCAAATGACACTAAACACTGTATATAGATTGCATTATATATAGAAAGAGTTCAGTCGGGAGCTTTGGGGTCATAACATTTAAATTGGCACTAAAAGCGGTGGGGCTCAAATTAAGATCTGCAGGCCACTGATATCCGCCCTAGAGAGTTCCTCGGGAGTGTTTATGAAATATTAGCCGAAATGTTCAAACCTGCGTTATGGCAACTGTGAAAAAAATGCTGAGAAGATTCCGGCGCGCTATCCTCCAAACGACACCGTGGCAAAATTGTTACAAAATGATTCTTCGTACGAACGTTTGCATGGTCAGCACACCATTCAAAACCAAGATTTTGTGCTTAACCAGCTGGAGAAGCTCCTCCGACTGCTCGTGGTCGACTGTCGGCCCAAAGGACTTTGCGATTTTGTATGCAAGAGTTTTCGCCCAGCGCTCGTCATTATGTCCTTGAGCAGTAGACAGGGTGCCACAGAAATTCCTATACCCTTCGTGTCAGGAGAGTTGACCTCAGGGGTGCCCTGTCTGGCCAATTCATCAGTCAAGACCTGCTTGCCACTGCGCCCTTGGCTTGAAGTCTGGTCATTCATTCGATGACCAATTTTGTTTGTACCATGAGTGAACCTTGAACCGTGATTGCCACTTGGCCCTCGCATAGCCAATTGACTGCTTCTTTTAGAGTAGCTACCTCTGCGGGAATGCGCTGCAGAATTCTGACCGGTTAAACAATTAAATAGCACTCCTGTTAAAATACATCTTTCAAACTCTGCCGCAGAACTTCAAAGCACCCGTGAAAATATTTATCAGAACTTTTTTTCAGTGCCTGTCACCCATTCACCCCTTGGAGGTACATATGTAAGTCAGTGTGTTGAGAAAAACCGATTGGAGCTAGCATTGGTAAGAGTTAATTTGGTTCTTCATACATGAAATTGAGGTTTCCA